TGGGGGCACAGTGGGCTAAGCCATTGCTTGGAAGGCCCTTGTCCCGTGTTACAGGGCCTGGGTTTGGGTCCATGCTCTGCTTCCGCTTCAGCTTCCTGCTGATGGCCACCTGGGAAGGCCGCAATGATGGCCCCAGTGCTGTGTCCCTCCCACCCCGGTGGGAGGCCAGAATAGAGCTCCTGGCTCCTGGCTTTAGCATTTGGTGATTGCAGGCATTTGGGGAGTGAACTGGCAGATGGAAGGTCCGTGTCCCTCTCTGCCTCACAAATGCGTACACGTAAGGAAGCTTTATAGAAGCGCACTATAACCATAAAACAGACATCAAACCCTAAATCCAACTGGAAGTGGATGTCTTTTGATATCCTTTGGTAAAAGGTGGATTAATACCCCCACTGCATGCGTACACTGGGATGTGTCTGTCCTGCCGTCTGCCGGGAGACGTGCGGGCTGTTGTCATGGGCATGGAGGCGCTGCTCTCTCTGCGATCCTGATTTCGGTTCTTCTGGATAAATCGGCAGGAGTAGGATAGCCAGGTCGCAGGGTGGTTCCATTTTTAATGTCTTGAGGATGCTGCATGCTCCTCTTCCCCAGCAGATAAACCATTGCCTGTTCCCGCCAGCAGTGTGACCATTGCCCGTTCCCGCCAGCAGTGTGACCATTGCCCGTTCCCGCCAGCAGTGTGACCATTGCCCGTTCCCGCCAGCGGTGTGACCACTGCCCGTTCCCGCCAGCGGTGTGACCACTGCCCGTTCCCGCCAGCGGTGTGACCACTGCCCGTTCCCGCCAGCGATGTGACCACTGCCCGTTCCCGCTAGCAGTGTGACCATTGCCCGTTCCCGCCAGCAGTGTGGCCATTGCCCGTTCCCGCCAGCAGTGTGCAGGGTCCCAGGGTCTCTGCATCCTCACGGGTGCTTGTGAGGCCGGGTGGTACCAGCACAGCAGGTTGAGGCCATCTCCCATTGCTGGTTATTTTTGCATTTCCCTGATGACTGGAAACCCTGAGCATTTTTCATGTACCTGCTGGCCATGTGTCTGTTGTCTTTGGAGAAATGTCTATCGAGTCTATAGCCCATTTTTTAAAATGTGACTTGTAAGAAGAATGATGGATTTGAAGGAGAGAGAGAAAGAGGGATCTTCCATCCACTGCTTTACCCCCTAAATGCCTACAACAGCCAGAGCTGGGCCAGGCCAAAGCCAACAACCAGGAACTCAACCTGGGTCTCCCATGTGAGTAACAGGGACACAGAACGTGAGCCGTCGTGTGGTGCTGGATGGAGAGAGAGCAGAGTGGATTTGAACCCAAGCACTGTGACGTGGAGCGCGGGCATTCCAGGCAGCACCTTAACCTCTGCTCCAAACATCCACTGCTTGAGCACCTTTTAAAATCAGGGCATTTGTTGTTGGGGTTTGTTTTTTATATTTGTTTTTGCTACTCAGCTGCAAGAGTTATTTACGTAGTTTGGAAAGTAACCACTTATGCAAGAGTACTCCAAAATATTTATGGAAAATAGAATTGAAAGATGTTTATTTTGGTGAAAACATTGCCCCAAAAATATATCTTTCATAAAACTTATTTTCCATAAACTTTTTTGCGTCCCTTTGTATTATGCTGTATGAAACAAGCCTGTCACAGAAGGAAAGATGCTGCAAGATTCCACTAACATGAAGCAGCTAAGCTAGTCCAGTCCAGACGGGCAGTTGCGAGGGGCTGAAGGGAGGGAAACATGGAAGTTGCTGCTCAGTGGACCGTGAATTTCAGCCAAGCAGGACGAGCAGGTTCTGGAGATCTGCTGTAAGACACTGTGAGTGTGGCTCACAGCAGAGACACTGTAGCTACAGCCAACAGCAGACACCTGCCTAACAACACTCATGATCACAGTAGGGACACCATAGCTACAGCCAAGAACAGACACCTGCTGTACCACACTCATCACAGTGGAAACACTGTAGCTGTAGCCTACAGCAGATACGTGCTATACCACACTCATGATCACAGCAGAGACACTGTAGCTACAGCCAACAGCAGACACCTGCTTAACAACACTCATGATCACAGGGGAGACACTGTAGCTACAGCCAAGAACAGACACCTGCTGTACCACACTCATCACAGTGGAAACACTGTAGCTGTAGCCTACAGCAGATACGTGCTATACCACACTCATGATCACAGGGGAGACACTGTAGCTACAGCCAAGAACAGACACCTGCTTAACAACACTCATGATCACAGGGGAGACACTGTAGCTACAGCCAACAGCAGATACCAGCGTACAACACTAACTTTTGCTAACAGTGGGATGTGCTGTATAACACTGTAACTAGAAGTGATAGTACTGTGTTGTATGCCTAAAATTTTAAGAGCATAGTTCTCATATTAAGTGTTCTTGTCACAGTAAAATACAAAAAAAGATAAAGGACCTCAAAAAGAAATAATTCATACTGAGAATAAAAACAGAAAGAATGTTGTGCAGGAAGGAGGATTTGAAAACCTTTTTTAATTATAACAGAATGTTTTAAAAAGCTGACTGGAAGTTGCTTTCTTATGTAAATATGTGTAAATAAATATTTTTTTCTTGCCAACCAAAAAAAGAGACAGAAATGAGGGGTGGCCGGGAAGCTGAGTAATTGCATTGAAAACCAGGACTGACTGTGTTCAGCAAAGACACTGTTGGAAATCTGTCTCAGCTGTTCTCCTGGGCCAGAGTAAATGATGATTTCCTGGCTCTTCCTTTACCCTGAGTGGAAGGGTGGCCGACATCCAGGCAGGAGGATGGGAGAGCCGGAGGCAGTTCCCTGTGCCCCCAGCAATGTGCTCCTGCACTCAGCTGGCTCACGTGGCCTGGGTGTGGGTTCTCCAGGTTGGGGGGTGCTTTCTTCAGGACTGGAAGGATACTCCATTTGACTCACATTTCCTGAGTACTTGCTGTGTGCCAGGTACTGATAGAGAAGCCATCCTGGGGGATTCAGGCCTGTCGGCAGAGGCTGTGCAGACCAGGGAGGGGTCTTTACTTATTGGAAAACAGGTTGATTTATTCAAAAAGCAAAGCAGTGAAGAGAGAGGGGAGAAACAGATCTTCCATCTGCTGGTTCACTCCCCAAATGGTTGCAACAGTTGGGGCTGTGTTAAGCTGAAGCCAGGAGCCTGGGGCTCCACCTAGGTCTCCCACGTGGAGACAGGGGCACAAGCACTTGGGCCCTGGTCCGCTGCTTTCCCGGGTGCATTAGCCGGGAGCCGGATCAGAAGCTGAGAAGCTGGGTCTTGAACCAGCCCATTGATATGGGACATGGATGTCACAAACAGAGGCTAACCCTGTGCGGCACCATGCTGGCCCCATGTCATGTGTTAGTGTAAGCTATGAAGTTAGTTTTTTCACGAAGTTTATGTTTTGGGTTAAGCCTTGCCTTTGAGGGCGAATGTCCCTTGTCACACTCCACCTTCTTCACACAGAACACACCTGTGATAGGAGTTTGAACTGAGTTTCATGTGTGTGTGTGTGTGTCTGTCTGTCTGTCTATATAGGGACCCTCTGGGAGCAGATTTTTATGACTCGTCCCTCATCTTTTACAGGCCGTCTTGCCCAGATGCACTTTGTCAGCAGTCTGTTTTAGCTATTAGCTAAAATCGTTTTCTTGAAAACAACCCCTTTGCTCTTTATCGGTTAACCCAGCAGGTATCCACGTGCATGGATTACAGGACCCCTGGCACTGGTAGGCTGAAGGGTAAATACAGCTGGCCCTCAGCAAGCGGGCCCTTGGCAGGCGAGGGGACCCTGCTGGGCCCTCCCCCGAGTTCATTCGTGCCACCCGGTGTCAGCTTAGCCCAGGGGAGCTCTTCCCACAAGGTAGGCAGGTGGAAGACAGCGGGGACCAGTAAGTGGCCAACAGGCCCATCTTGGGGTGGCGTCAGCACCAAGCACTAGGCAGGGAGTTGGTGGAAGATGGCCAGAGACCTGTGAGGAGGAACGGGAGGGCTTGGCTCTGGCACCGCACCTGCAGCGCCTTCAGTGGTGAGCTGCGTCTGGCTTCTCATCGCCCGGCCTGCGATGCTGTCCCGTGCACCCCTCTGTCTTCTGCACTGGTACCCGGTGCATGGGAAACAGCTGAAAAACTTTTGGAATGAATGAATGAGTGAGTGAGTGAATGAGCCTGCTTCTCCTCCAGCCCCGGGGATCATTGACAAAGAACAGGAGTCCTTATGCACACTGGGACTCTGTCCTGGACTCAGCACCCAGCAGTGGCGTGAGCTGCACGGCGCTCAGCCACCTGAGCCTGGACGGCAGCCTGGTGCCTCTCAGGGACAGCGGGGCAGGGGAGGTGGCAGGTGCAGTGATGAAGACCAAAAAGCCACCACTTTGCGTGACTGAAGAAACGACCTCCATCACGTTCTTTTTTTTTTTTTTTCAAGATTTATTTATTTATTTGAAAGAGTTATAGAGAAAGAGAAATTTTCATCTACTGGTTCACTCCCCACTGCAGTGGTCAACGCTGGGCCAGGCTGAAGCCAGGAGCTGCTTCTGGGTCTCCATGTGGGCGGCAGGGGCCCAAACACTTGGGCCATCTTCTGCTGCTCTTCCCAAGTGCATTAGCAGGGAGCTGGGTGGGAAGTGGAGCGGCCAGGACAGGAACCGGCACCCATATGGAATGCCGGCACAGCGGTTGGCGGTTTAAGCTGCTACACCACAGCACTGGCCCCTCCGGATTCTGTAAGTCCTGGTCTTGGACAGTCCCCCCACCCCACCCCACCCCCGGCCCTTAGCACAGTTTCTTCCCCGTAAGGAGCATTGCGTGTTAGGAAGCAAACGGAAGCACCAGCCTCCAGTGGAATGAGTGTAAGGTCCCAGCTGTTTGCTGAATGGACCTGAGCCAAACCTTGGGCCTCCGTCTGCCCCAAGAGGACAAGCGCCAATCCCACTCGCCTTTGGTGTCGAAGGCCTGAACTCCGGGACCTGTGACCTTGAACTTGTGGCTGAAGCGCACCTGTTTTCTCCTCCCAACAGCTTGGGCATGAACCATGACGACGAGCACACGTCCTGCGCCGGCCGCTCCCACGTCATGTCTGGGGAGTGGGTGAAAGGCCGCAACCCCAGCGACCTCTCCTGGTCTCCCTGCAGTCGCGAGGACCTGGAAAACTTCCTCAGGTAAGTCCTGAGTCATGTGGTGCAGCCAGCACTGCAGGGGTCACCGCCCGAGAAGTCAGGCGACTCCGGCCAAGTGTGAGAGGGAGAGCGGAGGCTCCTGTCCAGTTCTCAGCTGGCCCTGAAGAGGCCGTGGGTGCCACCACCGCCCCGGGCCTGGCGTCTCCTTGGGCTCCCCTTCCGTCTAAATGATTGATCACAGTCCGCCCTGTGGTGCTGTCTCGGGAAGAACCCGGGTTCGTTTCTCTGCAGCCTACATCCGGGAGCACACGCCGCCCCAGAGGCGCCCCAGGCTGCCCTGCAGCCGAGCTCTGGTGGAGGGGTGCCCCAGAAGGTGTCCATGCCATTCTGTCCACAGGCTTCCGTGGAGTTGACTGTCGGTTTCAGACCCTTGTCGGGGTCTGTCCCCACGGGCCACCCGAGTCCCTTAGTGTCAGCCTCAGAGTTAGTGGCCAACAGGCTCAGGAGTGAACGCGCTCGTCAGTTCTCGTGCTTCTGCCCCCCACCGGGTGTCTGGGAGCCCGGAGTCCTGCTCGGACGCTGTCAGCTCTTGGTATTGTTTCACTTTGCACGGGAGGTCAGCCCGACAACATGGGTGCTTCCTCTGCTCACGTCCGAGCGCCTGGGTCCTTTTCCCATACATGATTCAGAGGCGCGTGCTGCTCCAGGACTGGCAAGTCGGCACAAAATCCCGACTGGTACGCACGCGAGTCGGCTTGTCCCTTGGCTGTTTCAGATCCAAAGTCAGCGCCTGTCTGCTGGTCACGGACCCGAGGAGCCAGCACGCTGTGCGCCTGCCCCACAAGCTGCCCGGCATGCACTACAGCGCCAATGAGCAGTGCCAGATCCTGTTCGGCACCAACGCCACCTTCTGCAGGAACATGGAGGTGAGCAGCCCCGGGAGGGCTTGGGAGAGGGCCTGGGCCTGGCTGGGCCTCCGCGGGCCTGGCTGGGCCTCCGCGGGCCTGGCTGGGCCTCCGCGGGCCTGGCTGGGCCTCCGCGGGCCTGGCTGGGCCTCCGCGGGCCTGGCTGGGCCTCCGCGGGCCTGACTGAGCCTCCGCGGGCCTGGCTGGGCCTCCGCGGGCCTGGCTGGGCCTCCGCGGGCCTGGCTGCGCCTCCGCGGGCCTGGCTGGGCCTCCGCGGGCCTGGCTGGGCCTCGCTGGGCCTCCGTGGGCCCGGCTGAGCCTCCGCGGGCCCGGCTGGGCCTCCGCGGGCCTGACTGGGCCTCCGCGGGCCTGGCTGGGCCTCCGCGGGCCTGACTGAGCCTCCGCGGGCCTGGCTGGGCCTCCGCGGGCCTGGCTTCGGCAGGAGGCAGTGGCATTCACACGCAGCACCTGCACAAATGCACACGCCCACGCACGTGTGCACACACAGGCGTTCACATGCACAGACACACAGATGGCCACACATGCATGCGTACCTGTGTGTCTGTGTGTGTGTGTGTGCAGTCGCACCCATGGGCAGGGGACATCTCCATGGAGGTGATGCTGTGTCACGTGCCCAGCAGGGAGCCCTCCCCGCGGGGCAGGACTGATGGCGTGGAGCTGGGCAGGCTCTTCCATGCCAGCGAGGGTCATTTTCCCCTCCAGGAACCGGGAGACTGGGGAGTAGGGACAGGGGGAGATGCACGTATGGGGGCTCCCCACTGCCCAGGCTGGACCCTGCCCGCCCTGTGCCGTGAAGCCCTGCCTGCAGCCCCCAGACCAGCGGCTTTTAACTCCATTTTAACAGGTGTAAAAACAGAGGTTCAAAGAGACTAAGTAGCAGGCCAGGATTCCCATGGGCTGGGCGGTGGACCCCATGCGTCTGTTACTGAGGGAAGGGAAGAAGGGCGCCCCCCCGCCCCATGTTGTGTGAACTTTCGTTAGCATCCCTTCGGTTCAAGGTCAGCTGCTTCCTGGAAGCCCCAGCCCAGATCTGTGTCTGGTGACATCGCGCGCTTGTGAGTGACCATGAGGCTGGGCATCTGCCCCCAGCTCCCAGGAACTGCGGCTGCTTTCCCGGGCTCCTTGGGAGTTTACCAGTAATGAAACGCCGTCCTTGGCAGCGTCCTGCCCTGAGCTAGCTGGTGATCAGGTTAGGGGAGAGACATGGCAGTCACTGCGACGGCCCCCAGGACAGCTGGCTGATGGTGGTGACCCCACGTGCAAGGCTCGCGTCACTTCCCTTGGACCTAGAGCCTGATGGGGTGAATGTGTCACTCCCAGCTCTTCCCCTACCCTGGGGATGGGGGAGGCGGAGCATCAGACGCCTGCCTGGGCCCCCTTGAGAGCCGAGGAGCTGCGGCCTCTGCCTCCTGGGACAGATGCTCTGCCTCCAGTAGGGTCCAGACAGTGCCACCCTGCAGGGCTCCAGGGCTTGCGTTTCGCAGGGGTGCGCCTTGGCCCCTTCCTGGGTCAGTGTTTCCGCGGAGGATGGGCGTGGCCAGTGCGGCTCTCTGCTCTATGGCATCATCTCCCGACGCTGGGATCTGCTGCCCCAGCCTGCTCTTCGGGCCCCTGCCCTCCCTCTGTTTCTGCCCTGCTGGCCTCCAGGGTCTTCCTGGAGCCCGCCTGGCCACTCCCAGCAGGGACGCGCACTGGCGTCTGCTGGCTCTGTGGTCACTTCTCCATGTGATGGCCTCCCTCACGTGTGTTGAGTTCTGTTTCCTCAGGGGGGCCTGCCTGGGCCACTGTGTTGAAGATGACCACCCGCCCTCCACCCCTGCAGCACCCGGGTCTCCAGCCTTCGGGCACGTGGCACCTTGCAGCATCTCTGGCATTTGCGTGTTGCTATGATCCTGGGCGTGATGATCTCCCCTCCTCGGTTACAAACCTCTGGGGGAAGCCGTCTCTGCTGCTCTCAGGGTTCCCCAGTGCAGCGAGCAGTGCCTGGCCTGCTGTGGGTGCTGAACATGGTTGTCGTCATGGGACCCGGCCATGACCCCACAGCCAACTCTTGGGTCCTTCTTATTGGCTTCACACTCCCACAGAGGAACCTGTGGACAAGCTCAGAGTGGAGAAAACGCTGGAGACCTTCCTGGGTAATGCACGGGGGAATTTCAGAATGTTTGTGGGAAATGAACAGATAGGTTTATTTTGAATTTTTTGCAACCTGTGCATAGCTTTTTCATCATATGCCTTTCCATGAACTTAGGAAAAACTACACATGGATTTAAAAAGTTTTTGCACAGAAGTGAACTTATCTGCTAATTCCATTTTTCCTCCGGCATTTTGAGGCAGCCCCGCGCCACTCCCCAAGGCTCACTCCACGGTTCTGCATCCGGCTCCCCAGAATGACGGTAGGACTTGGTCACACGTCCTGCAGGGGCCATGCCAACGGCTCCTGTGGCTCCTTCTGTTCTAGGCAGTGCCGTGAAGGCCCAGGGCTGCTGCCCGGTGGTCGCTTCTCGTTCTCTCAGCCTTGATGTCCTTGGTAAGCTCCCGGGGAGTTGCCCCGTGTCAAGTGCTGACGCCTAGGACCCGTCGCCTGCCCAGGTCACTCTCATTCCCGTCTGTGACGGGGGCGAAAGTATCTGCGCTTCCCCAAGGTCAGCAGTGCTTAGCCTCGGCGCCTGCCACTGTGGTGTTCGGCTGCAGCTGAACCTCGGCGTCGTCTGCAGCCAGAGACTCCCAGCGCTGATCAGAGCGCTCTCTCCCCTGAGTGCCGTCCCTGATCTTTCCAGCCGTGGTCCTCGCTCTCACTCTTGACGGTTGCGGTGGGATCCTGTGATGAAGGGGCGTGGTCCTCAGTGGCGTTTACGCCTGGGCCCAATTTCGGCTTTCAGGTCAATGAGATCATGGGCTTCGGATTTACCCTCCTGTCGGAAGCAACCAAAAAGCAGTGAAATACATGAAGTGGGGATTTTGCAGGACCCTGTCCAGCAAGCTGCGTGGTTCTGCAGAGGCGGAGAGGGGGCAGGTGAGCCCACGGCTGTGTGGGCCTTGGGGAGCACCACAGAGAGGCAGTGGGCTTCTTTAGATAAGGCGACAGAGCTGGTCATCCAGGGAAACTGAGGCAGGCAGGGCTCACAGGGAACAGCACCATGGAAGAAAGAGCTGCACAGAGATCTGCAGAGGGTCCCCCGCGAAGATCCAACCTCGCGGTCACCTAGGAGTGAGCGAAGTGCCTGCAGCAGGGGAGGAATCGCCTGGAAGGGTCAGAGGACAGCCCCACGGAGCTGGCGTGGCACCAGTGGGGTTCACAGGGCTTGGCTTCTCTGCACCCAGTGCTGGTCAGGTCCCAGCTAACCAAGCCTGAGAGCAAGGTCTGCGAGGATCAGAGTGCTGCCGGGGACTCACCACGGTCCTGGGACAAAGCTGCGAAGTGTGTGCGGACGCAGACGACTGCTCAGCACTCGGCAGGCCTAGAACACACACGTCTGGCTCCAGGTCTCCCAAAGCCCCAAGAGAGAATTAGTGCTGAGGACATTCAGAGAGTAGTTATAGCCACGTGCCAGGTTCGAGAGGGTAGCGGAAGAAGAGATCATGCAGACAGTGACACAAAGATAGGGGTGTGTGTGTGTGTGTGTGTGTGTGTGTGTGTCTCCATCTCCGTACAGAACTCCCAGGAAGGAAAACGGCAGTTTCTTGCATGAAAGATACCCTAGATAGGACTGATGCCAAACCTGACATCGCAGCAGAGAAGGCTTATGAAGGCAAAGAGAAAGCTATCCAAGGTGACATATGGAGAGAGCGAAGAACGAACGAGCAGTACAGAATTAGTGATCTGGGGGCTGACCGGGGGGGGGGGGGGGGGTTGGAAAAATACTTGAAAAAAGGACTGAGAAATTTCTGCATTCGGTGGAAACTGTGAGACCACAGATCCAAGAACTCTCATCAGCCCCCGTGAGGAAACGCAGGCCAACGCTCATCATCACCATGACGGCACGGTTGCAAGCAGCTCTGGGGAGAAAGCCTGAACAGGGAGCAAGAAGACGGGTTGTTAGAGACAGAGCGGACTTCTCGCTGGAAGCAGTACAGGGCAAGGCCATTTAAGGCGCGGAGGGAAGAAAAGGCGACCAGGCTACAGCTGTTCACCCAGCAGGAATATGGCTCAAAGGTAAGTGTGGGGGCCAAGGGTGGGCCTGGCGCTTCAGCTGCCTGTGTCCACCACAGCCTGCCTGGCCTTGATGCTGGCGGCAGCTCCTGACCCCACCTTCCTGCCAGCCTGGACCCCGGGGCAGTGGCGGCTCAAGTGATTGGGCTCCTGCCACCCACAGGGGAGAAGTTCCGGGCTCCCAGCCTCAGCTCAGCCCCAGCCGTGGTGTGCAGTTGGAGGTTAACCCACAGATGGGTGCTCGCTGCTTTCTGTCTTTCTCTGTGCCTCTCTGATAAAGAAATGAAACATTTGAAAGTAAATGCATAAGAATTTGGTTTTTCTGTTGTGCCAAAGCTGAAAAAATTGGTTTCCAGCAGGCCTATACCATATTGTTACCAAGAAAGTCTTCGGCAGGAGACTGGTGTGGGTGGAAACGTGGATCTGCACAAAGGATGAGGAGTCCTGGACTGGTGCCTACCTGCGTAAACAGACCTACCTTGAGCTCTCTCTACATGTCTCTCTTAGAAATATTTATCTCTTTGAAAGAGTGACCGAGAGAGAGAGGGAGAGGGAGAAAGGTGGTGCTTCCATCTGCTGACTCACTCGCCAGGCAGCTGCCATAGCCTGGGGCCCAGAACTCCATCACAGTGGGTGGCAGGCGTCCGAGGATGAGGACCGTCGTCCTCTGCCTTCGCCGGTGCTTTAGCGGGAAGCAGACTCAGAAGCCGAGCAGCCGGGACAGGGACTGGTACTCTGCTCAGGGATGGCTGCGTCACAAGCAGCGGCTTCACCCACTGCACCACAAAGCGGGTCCCCTTCATGCATCTGTAAGATGGTTGGGGTCGGCACTGTGGTGTAGCAGGTAAAG